CTCCCATCTTAGGATATAACTCCCTGAACCTGCTCTGAATACTCCATCCCAGTCTCCCACTTAACAGCTAAATCCTTGAGATGGTTGTTTAAATTCACTGTCTTTTTTTCTTTTCTGGTCAACTCTCACTTATCTCTCCATCTCTCACTGAAAGAGCCTTTGCTAAGGTTATAAGGGCCTCCATCCACTAAATCCAAAGGCCAATTTCAATCCTCCTTTCGCTTGATCTTCAGCAGCATATGACACTATCGATACGCCACCCTTTTTAAAACACTCCATTCTCATGGCATCACACCTTTTTGGTTTCCCTTTGACCTCTTTGCCTAGTCCTTCACAGCCTCCTTTCCAACCTTATCTTCTTCTTCTCAAGCATTGTATGTTGGAGTTTTTCAAGATTCATACCTAGGCCTTTTTTCCTTCTTACTCTATAAACCATCCCTACATATGGTCTCACTCTTGCAAATAGCCTCAAGTCCTATCTATATGGCAATGACCTAAAATGTATACCTCCTGGTTGGCATCTGGCTTAAATTCCCAATCAAGCAGCGTTTTTGATCTCTCCAACTGGATGTCTCAGAGGTACCTCAAACTCAACATACTCAAAGCTAAACTCACAATATTCCTTCCTATTCCCATTGTTTCTCTCTCGGTAAATGAGATCATTGATCCATTTCCAAAAGGAGAAAGTCCAGGAATTATCTCACATACCCCTTTCTCTTGTTCTTCACACCCAATTGTTCCTTCACACCACAGCCAAAGGGATCTTTAAAAAAAAAAAAACAAATCTGAGAAAGTCACTCCTTCTTTAAAGTTTTCCGATGCCTTTTCCCTTGCTCTTAAAACAAGGAGGAAAAAGTCTGACTTCTGTCCCTCTCCAGACCATCCTTACCTCATTCAGGCCACTCTTGGCTCTGCTCTCTTTATTCTAGCCCCACTGGTATTTCTCAATTTCTTCTGTCCTTCACAGGGCCTTCCAGATGTTCCCATTCCTCCTCCTGATCTGGGCCACTACTGTCCTTCCGCATACCCAGTCTTCAGATACTAACTCAAGCATCACTGACCCTGAAAAAGCTTTGCTGTTACATGCTTCAGTTCTTTTCTTTCAGAGCACTTATCCTGGTTAGTAATTACATATTAGAGTGATTATATGAAAATAATTTCTTCCATTGTTAGATTTTAAGTTCACAAGAGCAGGATGGTCTGTTTTGGTTCACATAATGTCCCTCAGACCAGAATTATGCCTGCTCTAGAGTAGATGCTGAATAAATATTGAACTAATTTCAATAAAGAAAAAATTAAGAAGCAAGAATACAAAGAATACAAAGAAAGCAGAGCTCAAGTAAGTAGAGACCAGAAAGCCAAAGAAGAAAAAGTCAATAACGAGTGTAACAAAGGAGGTGAGCATTTAAAGAAGAAAGTAGTTAAAAGCTTCATACGTTGCAGAAAGATTAAAAGGCATGAGAAGAAACTAATGGATGGGAGCAAGCAGAAAACTATTTGCGACCTTTGAGAAAATAGTTTCAGTGTAAGGATAGACTCCAAAGCCAGATAGCAGCAGAGCTGAGGAATGAATGGGAGACAAGAATACAGAAGAAGCAAGTGGACTACTTTTCAAGAATGTGTCAATGAAAGGAGGGGATACGGGCTGCAGAAAGGGTGGAGAGCTCAGTCACTGGAATATACTGATGGTGATCACAGAGGAGGAATCACAAGCTCAAGGCTACGGTAGGAGGCAGAACAAAATGACAGGGTTTGCAACTGAAGATGGTAGGTTAGTAAATTATCTTTTCCTGTGGTGCAATCCAATTACTTTCTATCAAGATAATGGTGATAAAAATAATAGCCGGGGTGCCTGGGTAGCTCAGTGGGTTAAGCCTCTGCCTTTGGCTCAGGTCATGATCCTGGGATCGAGCCCCACATTGGGCTCTCTGCTCAGCAGGGAGCCTGCTTCCCCCTCTGCCTGACTCTCTGCCTACTTGTGATCTCTCTCTCTTTCAAATGAATAAATAAAATCTGAAAAAAAAAGAGCCAACTGTTGTTTTTTTTTTTCTTTTTGTACTGACTACTCAGTAAGTACAAAGCAAAGTGCTTCAATACTTCTCACTGGAGCTCCCAGCATCTTGTTAAGGAGTGGGACCATTACCCCATTTTACAGATGAAGACCCTACTTAGCCATACAATGAGCAATTGACAGAATTGAAATTAAATCCAGATTTACTGACTTCTATTAGCACACACTATAGATTCCTAATTCCCTTGTTCCTTGACTCATTACCTTACAGCTACAAGTGGCCACATGGCCCAGCCAATGGGATGTAAGTGCAAATATGTTTGGAGATTTCTTGGAAGGCTTTTCTTTTTTTAAATATATAAATAAATATATTTCCATATATTTACTATCTATTATCTAGTAAATGTATATTAAAATTTATAAATATTTAAATTAAATCTATGCAAAATACACTTAAATGGTTTTTAAAGGAAAAGCCTTCTAAGGCTTTATTATATATAAAAAGCAAATATTGCTGGGCCATCCCATCCTCATAACTTGAATGTGATTATAAACCCTAGAGCTGGCTGCTGTCTTATGATACTGAGGGAGTAGCAGAAAAATCACAGAGAAGCTAAACCACCAAGAGCCATAGGACAACAGCGACCTACACCTAGACTTCTTGCTACGTGAGGAAAAAAAAAGAAAAAGAAAAAACACAGAACCAGGATTTTTCAAACTACGTTGATCAGGTTTTCTGTTATTTACACTTGATTATATTCCTAATGAGTATAATTCAAAAGCCTCTGCTCCTATCTATGAAACTCTATCTCCTCTCCTCTATGAAATACTATGAAAAGACTGAGGCTCTTTCCACCTCCCCCAGAGAGTTCTTAAGGAGTTCAAGGTTGAAATGCATACACAAATGTCTTGAAAAATAAAATTACTATAGCAACTTATTGCTGTTTCAAAAATCGTAAGTCTCAACCAAGGAAAGAGATCAGAGTAAACACCCCGTAGGGACACAGGATAGGGCAGCGTTTTCTAACGACAAATAGAACGACAAATCATAACCTGCTGGGAGGTTTTTCACATGACACATGTCCCCTTTTGAGAATCACTGCCAGGGTGAAAACCACCTCGTACAGACAAGATGATGAGCATATCCTTACAGATGTGTTCAGGAGGGGAAAGGTTGGGGAGTAGAGTTTTATGATGATAGGCACACTTTCATTAAGACATCAGTAGGACAACAATTGGTAAAAAAATAATAATAATAGAAATTTTTTTTTAATCCAGGGGGAAACAATCCCACCTTATCAAGTGTGGCCTTTCTTAAAATGCAAGTATTTACTTTTATATGCATAACAGTAACAAACAATAAATAGTAGTATGACCCAATAAAGCTAAAGGAACCTAGACGGTATAATGAAATACCAACCAACGGGACCAGAGCATTCACAGGAAGAAATGTAAGTATGTTTCAGAGAAAGGCTAGAAAAAATTTCAAATGCTTTCATTTTTTAAATAGGTTTCCTCTTCATTTTAATTTATCTTGGTAGAGATCAAATTTACTACTCTCTCATTAAGAAATTAACAAAGTCATTTTTTTAAAAAAATTGAACTCAACATCTCAGGTCCCAAATTATTGGTTTGGTCATTTTACTGGATGTAGTGCCAGTATTTTCACTCATGAGACATTAGTTAAGCACCTACTGTGGGCAAGGCTGTTCTTGCCTTTAGAGCGCTGTCAGAGCAGAGAAGAAATACCCCAAATTGCTTGTCTCTATGGAACTTATATTCTATGAGAGTAGGGAACAGATAATAAGCAAATAAATACAACGCAATTTATGCCAATCAAGAATAAGTACTATAATGAAAGAAAGCAAGGAAGGTGTAAGGTAGACAGGCCATTTGGGGTGAGAATGAGACAGAGAATTTGGGGGTGGGGAATGGTTGGTAGCTGCAATTTTGAATATGATGGTCATAAAGGTTTCATTGGGATGCAGACACCTGAGGTGAGATCTAATGGGGCCATAGGACCAACCCATAGCCACGCAGCTATTTGCTTTAATACTAAGTCTTCTTCTGTTGAATGTATCAATTGAAAAGGGTTAATAGCCAAAGGCAAAAATATTTAAAAAAAAGACTTAGATTTCCAAAATGTGGAATTTTTGACTAGGCTACTGGTGTGCTGGTGTACTGAGTTTTTATTTTTGTTTTTAAATAAATTACTGCACTGGATCTAAAAAAAAAAAAAAAAAAAAAAGTGATACTGTTTTTCCTTACAAGTCACCCTGAGTCATTATAATCAGGCCAAAAAAGGAAAAAAGGCACTCCAGTGATTGGTAACCTTCTGAAGCTCACTGTTGATATATTTATTTGCCTTTGGAGGAAAGTTTTAAATGTTTATTTGGTTCCTTTATTCATTTTTTGATACACCCCAAACACATATTTCAAATGAAGAAAATTTTGTTTACTCTTAAATGAGCCCAAATTTCATCATGGGCTAAAATTTTAAGACATAAAAATGACTGCTGAAACTGAATTTTAATCATATAGATGAATCACAACATGCATCTTTAGCTAGGCATGTATTATGGATAAGTCTAGTTTTCTACAGAGAATAATCACATGTTCTAATTACCATTTTGGTTATACGCATAATTAATAATATTCTGTCTTAATGGGACACACTGAATCTTCAGACAGTTGCAAGCTTTAACTATGCGTACTGCCAAATCCAACTGTCAGCTGGGCTGCCGAACACAAAGGAATCTTGATGTAGTGTTTGAGCATTGCTAACAGTGCGCATATCTTTATACATGATACAATGGAAAAATTAATTGCCTCTCTTTCTTCAAAATTTTCTCCACACTAACAATTTCACATTGCTTGATTGATCACTTACCCTAAATTATATATATTGGCAAATCTCATGAACAAAAAAATATGAATGTAAACTTGTGACCCCAGACACAAAGAAGAAAAGCAATGTTGTAGGACTTACTGATTGTAAACTTTCATTTTCTCGTAAACAAGCCGTGTGAAGTTCTGACTTCAACGTTGCAATGTGACTTCGATGAGATGTCATTTCCTTCTCTAATGTAGCAATTCTAGCACTTGCAAGCTGGTAGACATCCACGAAACTTTTAATCATAGCCTTAAGAAATAAATATAATGTCACATACAATTCAAATAAAGATGTCCCCAAAGAAGAATTTCCATAATTTGAAAGCAAAATCATTAAAATTTTAAAATAAACAACTTTTCATCTTTCTTTCAAATAATAAAGCTAACCCTCACATTTTATATTGAGAACAGGGACTATTTTAAGAAAGTTCGGGAGAATATAATTGAGACTTCTTTTCCAGAGCATATATTTAAATGAGATGTACTTTGATCTATTGTGTTTAAAATTTAGAAGGCAATTTTTAAAGATGGCACACTTATTTTCTTTATGAAGTCAAATTCAAGTTGTAATTTGACCTAAATTTCAATCTTGAGACATACAACAGATGGATATATAAGCAAGATATTTCAAAATGAGCTGAGTTAGTAAAATTTTCAGTCCACCTAAAAAAACAAATGGTTTGAAACAAAAGGAGCTGAAATAATCCTGTAATTTGTTTAAGAGTAAATAATGTGATTCTTACATTGTACAAAAAAGCATAATTGTGTTCATTCATATAACAGAGGACTGCTCATGTGTTATACTATGTATAATAAAATACAGGTGTGTGTAAGTTTTTCTCCCCTCTAAATAAGTTATATTTGGGGGATCATTAAACCCCTGTATAACATTTTAATCATATTTTACAGACTTTTTCTTCTAAAGCAACCAGTAGTGAATTTTAAGTTCAAGAACACTATCACAACTTTTTAAAAAACTCTTTCAAAATACCTCAAGTATAACAAAAACCAAATATTTCAAAGATATATTCAAAGATAATGTTGTATTATTTACGAGAAAAAAAAATGTTCTAACCACAGCAACAAACTAGTAAAATGGTAGACAGTCTGAGAATTTCTAAATTCTATTCAATCCAAAGAGTCTGATTTGGAAAAACTTTGAGAAACTGGATATTTGAGCAATTCTGAATGCACATGAAATAATGTGGTGAACAAAGAATAAGAAACAATGTATACAATGTCTGAGAAATGGAAGCAGGTTAACTACTTGTAGGTAAAAGTAAGAAAATATGCACCTTTTCTCCTAATAAATTCCTATTTGCCCTAAAATATTAAGCTCGGACACCATCTCTTTCAAGAAACCTCTTTTGAACCCAAAGGCACTGTTAACATTTACTCTAGCTTTCTGTGGGGCCCCCCTCATGCTTACTTTTATCATAATGCTTATTGCTTTAGCAGAAAAGTATTAGTTTACGTGTTTCTCTTTACTAAACTGAGGGGCTCCAGATACTATGCCTAATCATCTCTGTATCATCAGGGATGTTAGTGGCTCACAGTGAGCACTTGTTTGAATGAATGAATGAATGAATGAAAAGATTTTTAAAAACCCCAAGTTGAAGCCATATGTTGGCATAAAATACCTTATAGGAAAGGATGAAGATATTTGGGGAACTATAATCTTAACACTCTAATGTATGAATTATTAACTATACTTTGTTCAAGTTGAAAAAAGAAGTGAGAGCACAGCTGTAGGCACAAAAGGACAGAATACACAAAAGAGAATTCTATTACCCAACACTGAACGAGCATGGTATGACTTCATGTTTGGGAACATCTCTACCTTACTTTGAGTCATTTCAAGATGAGTTTATATCTAATACTAACACAAAATATTTCTCTGGGTTTCAAAGGTATGTAAAAACCAGAAACTATAAAATCCTATCTGCTTCTTCCTATGCCAAGTGTCTCTCTACCCATAATTCATTCATCTTCACCAGGTGGTAGACCGGGTATTACAAGTCCTACTCCGGTCCAGTCCCCACTCTGTTGCTTACTCAGCCTTGCTCTGTTGGGCAATGCCACGTCATCTCTCTGGGCTTCCATTCTTTCCCTCCACGAAATGGGAAGAAAGGTCATTTTCTCGCCTACTTCCAAAACTGTTGTAAGTCTCAGGTAATTAAAAATCTAAGGCAAAGCCATTCTCTTCATCCTTCAACTACGGTGCATCTGTGTAAGAAAGCCCTCCAAAAATCTCACTCTCACTGAATCTCATTGTAGTATTACTTTAGTTCTATTTTTAAATTCTCCACTAAGATCTTAATGAGACAATCTGTGATAGGTGGTTTGCATACATATGTCCTTGTTGGATAAGGACCTAAAGTGTATAAAAGGTACAAAAATATGCATAAGCGCTTATTGAATAAAAAAAGGAAGTACTCTTCTGTCAGTATGGGCTCCTGAATTATTATTTCACTGTTAAGGCATAAGAGGATTGGCTTCTAATAGTCCAAGATAAAAACCTCAACATTTCAAAAATTATCCCACATCCTAAATTTAGAGAAACATATTTCATGAATTCTCATGTACATGATACTCTTCAAGGAAAAATGATATTCCTTCAAACCTCTTTTTAAAAAAAATAAAATACTTTTTTGAGGAGTTACATCTAAATTTTTATATGGTGGATGGACCAAAAGTCATAATTATTTTGGCTCCTTCCTTGATCTACTTTTAATAACTAAATCCTAATATTCAGCACATATTAAGAGATACCACATATTATTCTTTATAACACTAAAAGGAATATAATGATAATCAATTTTTTTAAAGATTTTATTTATTTATTTGACAGAGAGATATCAAAGGTAGGCAGAGAGAGAGAGGAGGAAGCAGGCTCCCTGCAGAGAGGGCTCAATCCCCAGACCCTGGGATCATGACCTGAGCCGAAGGCAGAGGCTTTAACCCACTGAGCCACCCAGGTGCCCCCGATTTTTTGCATAGGATTTAGAATATTAGGCATTTAAAATCTTTTAAAGCAGTATTGCATTTGAGAGATGAAAGCGGTTTTTTACAACACTTATATATCTTTTCAGAACAACAAGGAAGAGTGGTAAATACAGCAAGCATGTTTCATGGCATAAACAGTATATTATAGCATGGTCGGCGGAGAGGGGTTGCCAATGAAATCACAGTTACTCCAAGAAGCACCAGACCTTTTGAGGAATAAAGAACGTTAACTGCCAATATTAAGAAGTGATTCAAACTACGTAACAAAGGATTCCAGTGAAAAACCCAACTCTTTAATAGAAAAGAAAGGTGTCAGGTGGGGAGAAGTGGAAATGATCCTCTGAATAAACTGAGAGGGGACGGGGTGGGGGGGGGTGGATGAGCACCTAGGGACTTCCGTATCAAGCTCCCAAGGTCTAACCCTTCACAACACACCTCTGTCCTGTACTAAAACGTCACGTCTTTTTATATTAGCAAGCAACGACAGAACAGCATGATACTGTGATCAGCGCGCCCAGCACTGGAGAATTTATGCCGTGTCATCTTTGGCCTTGGCCGTAGGGATTTTGGCCACACCCTGAGACCTGTATCTCAGCGGGGCTTATCTAGTTCCCGGAGAAACAGAACAAAAGATGGTTTCTGGATAAGAACAGGCTTTTGTTACAGAGATAATCTGGAGTGCTTATAATCAACATAACAAGATGAGAGAATCCACATAAAATTCCACACCCTAGCCATTTTAAGAAAAAGTGTGTTTTCAGAATTCAAAAAATTCTGAGATACAGTAGATGACTGTCACTTGTGCACTACAATATTATTTATATAATTCATTATGTACATATTATTATGTAATTTAGGCTGACTTCAAAACTGGATTTTGGGAGAAATGGGATCCTTGGGAACCTGATGTCAGGAGAAGAGATTAATGGAAAATGTCGTGAGGCCTAGAGGCCAAAAGAGCAAACTTTTTATTTATATTTTTGAGTAACTGGGAAGCAAAAACCTCAAATATTTCCCTTTAAATATAACTATAGTTATACTTCATTCCTATCTACCATATAAATATACCATGTAAAATGGATATACCAAGTATGTGGAATATAATAAATCCCCATAAAATGGGGATGATAATTCTAATCTTATAAAGATTTTGTGAAGATTAAAGGAGTATTAAAATCTGGAAAGACCTTACCTGTCTGAAACATAGTAAACCATCAGGTAAATTTTGGCTGTTAGTAATGATAATGGGATCAAATTAGGAAAATTATTACTTTAACTCATAAAGCAAAGATTCAATATTTCTTTTTTTAAGATTTATTTATTTATTTTAGAGGGGAAAGGCAGAGGGAGAGAGGCAGAAGCAGACTCCCCACTGAGCACAGAACCTGTGGGGCTCAATTCCACAACCCCAAGATCATGACCTGAGCCAAAACCATGTGTCAGATACTTAACCTACTGCGCCACCCAGATGCCCCAAAGATTTAATATTTCTGATGGGTATTGTTAGACATAATGTAAACATTTTAAATATTAAATATTTTATACATATTGAAATATTAAAGCCCTTTCAAATTTAAAGAATTTTAGAGGCCAATGAATATTTACTTTCTAACAACACAACTGCCCACTGGTAAGACGTGAACAGACACTTCTCCAAAGAAGACATACAAATGGCTAACAGACATGAAAAAATGTTCATCATCATTAGCCATCAGGGAAATTCAAATCAAAACCACATGGAGATACTACCTTATACCAGTGAGAATGGCAAAAAATGACAAGACAAGAAACAAGTGTTGGGGAAGTTGTGGAGAAAGGGAAACCCCCTTATACTGTTGGTAGGAATGCAAGCTAGTGCAGCCACTTTGGAGAACAGTATGGAGATTCCTTAAAAAGTTAAAAAAATAGGGGCACCTGGATGGCTCAGTGGGTTAAAGCCTCTGCCTTCTGCTCAGGTCATGGTCCCAGGGTCCTAGGATAGAGCCCCGCATCAGCCTCTCTGCTCTGCAGGGAGCCTGCTTCCTCCTCTCTCTCTGCCTGCCTCTCTGCCTACTTGTGATCTCTGTCTGTCAAATAAATAAATAAAATCTTTAAAAAAAAAAGTTAAAAAATAGAGCTACCCTATGACCCAGCAATTGTACTACTGGTTATTTACCCCAAAGTTAAAGATGTAGTGGAAAGAAGGGCCATATGTACTCCAGTGTTCATAACAGCAATGTCCACAATAGCCAAACTGTGGAAAGA